TTTAAATTATTCGAATATTCGAAACTATGATCGGAGTATACAATTTAATCTATTTTATTTATAAACGCTGTGTACATTATATCAAAAAATATGTTTATCGCATAAATATMAATATAAATCTCGCCTGGAWTTGGAGTATAATAAAGCTATGACCGCAATTAAGATATTACCTAAATTGGCGTGACCGCGACTGTTATATCTGTTTATCTCAAAAATCATCATGACCGCAGCTAGTATGCAGCCGAATATTAGATTCAAATCACTTCGTGTTTCAACTTTAACAGTAATTAAGTCCAAACAACAATAACGAATTAAAAACATGAATATTTTGTATCACTCTATAAGTTTATCTAAATATTACAGCATTTGTGAAATATGTGATTTACTGCAATAATTGGATTGAGACCATCTTTGGCATGCAATATGTGGACTGCACAATTTAGGATCTAATATGTGATATATTGCGTACTCTGTTTATTTTACTATTTTAATCACTTGGTGGGCTTACCATTACGGTGAGATGTATCGTACATTTATACCACTTATTATGCCAGTACGAAAAGATAATATTGCGACTGAATTTTATTTGAAAATTAATTCTGATAGCATTAATTTGGTAGAAAATATGAAAAGTATGAAGTAACGCTTAATACTATCCACCTAAGTGATGCAATTGCGACAGCAATACCAAGATGTACGTAAGAAAAAAAAAATCACTTCAAACAAAATACGTGAAAGTTTCAATAACATTGTAGTGTATTATGGTGCGTAAAATAGGGTGCCAGAAATATCAGTATGTTCAACAAGTCAACAGGTTTTTCACATTATATATACCGATTTACATTGGTGTCATAATTCAAATTCAACTCTTTATTAAATTCTTAAATTTATTATTGGTCTGAAGACTTGTCAATTTGATTTTAAACATTTTAAGTTAATTTTATACTTCTTTATTTTTAAATATTTATTAACATTTTAGCTACTACATTATTTTATAAACATTTTAAAGATTTATTGATAGTAAATTAAATAATAATTTGTACCTACTTTTATTATGAATAATTATTATCGGTTTATAAAGTTTGTAAAATAATAATACATGATAGCTATCTGATCACAAGTTAATCATGAAAATATGTTTGTCGTGTTAAAATCACATATTGCACGAATTCAAATATTGTTAGATAATAATATTATATAACTACCTAGCCAATAGAAAAATCGTCAATATTATGCTAGATTGGAAATTGAGGTTGTTTTTATTTTATAAAAATAGTGTTTACATAATATTGCTCTGTAGCTTCAGATAAATCATTATCTATCTAAAACTAATTTTAATTAAATAGAAGAATGTTTACTTCCTATAATGTTTACTTACTACTTTTGTAGTAATGTCGATGTAAAAATTTAAATATTTCAATTAATAAAAAAATAAAGTTAGCTGTTGACTTTCAAATATTCCTTTGTAAAAAATATCATATGTTTTTGATCAGTTATAAAATATATAATTATTTTTTTCAGCTTACACAGTTTAATCAACATAGAACTGAACAAAAGTAAAACAAAGAACCACCAGTATTGCTTTGTGAACTAATTTTGCCAAGGTGGCAATTCTTCTTTGGATATAGTACTTGGTTTATTTTCAAACGAGGTTCTAACTCTCWTTTAACCTTTCTATTATCTTTGAAAATTTCGTCAAAATCGTTAAATTAGTTAATAGATTATATAATATGCACATTTGCACATTATACAGTTTTTCAATTTTGTTTTATTGAATATATGGTAACATGGTATTTCTATTTTATCCCTCAAATATCAATATTCCTTTGATAGAAATCGGATCCATATAAAACTATATTCAAACCTGCTCTACAATGTTCTCTTCTCTATAAATTAAAAAACCCCATGACAATTTTTTTAAGTGGTTCCATACTTCCATACCTAAACATTTAACAAAAAAAAAAAACACCACATTTATATTGTTTTATATTAGGCTCCTTACCTTTTTCTACTGATGTGTCCAAAGATTTCAATAGCTTAAAACTGTTACTGACAGTAATCTACATTAATCATTTTGCTAAAATCTGCGTAAAAATCGGTCTACTACTCTTGAGCCTATAAGTCTTACCAGAATAAATTTTTATACATCTAGTTAAATATGATCATGATATGTTTTAATAATTGATAATTAAAGTAAAGAACTTAAAAATCATTGAAATTTCATAAACATAATATGTCAAAATAAAATCATTTACAATTCTATTTACTGGTGTAGAATAATGGAAAATTTTCTAAAATTATTTTTCCGAGAAACCGCTTATATAACAGTGTCTAAAACCATCTTTAAACTTGTCGTAAATTATTTGCTTCGCCGATTTTGGTTAATGGTCAATACTCAATACAACTACTATAGTAATATGCACTATTCTATAAATATATAAACAGCCCGTGGCTATAAATTTCATCAGTGTATTATTTAAATGTTATTGTTTTGATACATTTTTAAGAGAAATATTATACATTGCATAGGTGAAATCATCTGGAACATCAGTTGTGACTGTAATACCTCMCATATACTGTCAAAATGTATGCCTATATTTAATCATCCTGATTCTTATAATAATGCACACATAATTAAAACGTGCAATTTTTAGTTGAAAATATTTATTATGTTTTGAAAGCGTACACTTTATTTGCGTAATGAAAAACTTTTATTTAAGTTTAGTTTAAATCTCATCTAGACAAATCATCGCGTATTCTAACTACATGCCTAGTATTATTGTACAGTAGCGCACACACCTGCCAAATTTGAAATGATTACGTTTGGTCTTCGAGGACAATAAAAATAAGTAGATATTTAAATAGTTTTATATTCATAACTTTTCAGTTCTTAAAACCATGCTGAGAAATATAATTAATTTTTAAATACTAGACATCGTAAGTCCATCTAAAACGTTTTTATGATATCACTWWTTTTTATTTGAAAACTAACCATCCTCATTTTGTTTTATTTTTATTTCTGTTTACTGTTTATTATTAAATACTCGTATTGTTTGAATATCAGATGTGTACTATTTTGTTGACGTTACTATAAATTGAGTTTATACCTATGAACTGAAAAATTGTTTGCAAAGTACAAAATATGTTTGGAAGTGAGTCCCAACTCCCAAACATTCAAAATATTATAATTACTATCAATATAATTATTTTTAAAATAATAAACAATTTTTTCTCCACTGTTAATTTTCATGAAATACAAGATGTATAATAATTATACAAAAATAATTTTTTCTGGCATGGATTCACCAACCTTGAGCTGKGGTAATCGATCATCGTCATAGTCACAATACTGGACTGCACCAACCAGAGGTTAGATACTATATTAGATTACAATAATTCGAGGAAAAAAATATTAGTGATAATGACCATTAGCCACGGTGATTACATTTTAAGATCATTTGAAATTTTGATAATATAAACACCTAAAAAATTTAATATAGTAATACGCAATGTATTATGTAAACGATTAGTATATTCATATTTTTAATGGTATTTTCTCAGTATATTGGATGATTTACCAACCATAAATTATGGTCACATAATTAACGATAATAGGGTTATTTAAAATTTGACTTTTGAAATTTTTTGTAGACCATATTGTTGATATACGTTGATGTCRTATTTTTTACTCCTTAAGGAGTGTTCCGTGTAGTACAATCTTCTCTCAAACAAAATCTTCCCTTTTCAACTAGAAATCATTCAGTGGACATTAATAATTTGTAAAAATTGCCCAAGTATTTTAAATACTAGTTTCAATATCACGTTTGTTTTATATTTATTTAAAACCATTTACAATGRACTATTATCTTATTAGTACAAAAGTTTTAATTATTAAGAAACCATTCAAGTACTTACATCAACATTTTCAAAACAATTATTCATTAAATAATTTACAGTACAAAAGGAAGGTCCTCATTTAAAGGACAAATGTTTGTATCATCACAGAACCTCTAAGCAGCACMAACAAATTAAAGCATTTGAAAAAATTTCTCTGAGTGTATTTAAAAATTTCAAAAATCAGAATTTGAATAAGTTTATTATTAAGGAAAAACATAATGGTGACAACACTTAGTTTTGTGAATCACACTGTATAATAAATAATATGTTTAACTTGCACAGAATATTATTACCAATATTATACGTAC